TTTTGGATTTTTTTTCTTGAGACAAGGTCTCACTATGTATTTCAGACTGGCCTAAAACTCACTATGTAAGCCAAGCTGGCCTTGAACTCACAGTGATCCTCCTGCCACAGCCTCCTGAGTGCTGGGATTACAGGCGTGCACCACCATGCCTGGCCTCCCCAAGCCTTATTTGTGATGTGTACGCTAATAATTTGGTATTAAAGTGTTTACTGAATGGCCAACTATACATGAAGATCTGATTTCAAATGAAAGGGTGCAGTGGCCAAAACATTAGAAACCATACCCTAGGGCCGGGGATATAGCTCAGCGGCACAAGCACCTGCCTGGCAAGTGCAAGGTCCTGAGTTCAATTCCCAGTATAAAAAAAAAAAAAATAGAAACCATACCCAAAGGAAGACATTATAGTCATATACTGAACTAAAACCATGATGTTTCATAGAAGAATTATTTCTTCTAGTCATTAATATTTCCAATCATTACAAGTGCACTGTGAAAGCTTCATCATTTATATAAGGAAATTATTTCCAAAACCCTAACACATGGTGATAAATTATAGCTAATCATATATTTTCTAATAAAATAAATGAAATTAAATGCCCTTATGAACAGATGAAGGCAATTTCTTTTTGCAAAATGTCAACTGAAAGTATTAAAACAAGCCAGGGATGGTGGCACACGCCTATAATCCCAGCAGTTGGGAGACTGAGGCAGGAGGATTGCCACAAGTTTCAGGCCAGCCTGGGCCATGTAATGAGCTCAAGTCCAGCCTGAACTACCTAGTGAGACCCTGTCTCAAAACAAACAAAGAAATAAAAGTATTAAAACAAAAGTCCACCTTCTTTGGAGCTATCAAATACTTCGAAGTTTCCTTACCTTTGGTGTTAGTTTCTAGTATTTTATTCTTGTGAATGTAGAAAGATCCCTTAGGGTATCTTTTCTCTGGCAAATGCTGTCTTTCCTCTTCAGCTATTCCAGTGGTTATGACACAAGGACAGTTTTCCTTCTGCAAACCATCCAGGTCTAGATCAAGTCTCTGTTTAATTTTTTCAAAGCTGTTATCCAAAAGCTGTTCATTTCCACAGGACACCACAGGTGTATCCATCTGCTGTCTGGTGTTCTGGTTTTGCATCAGTAAAGGAGATGGATTTTTTACATTGTAAGACTTATTCAGTTCCATGTGCAAGTTGCAGGAGTTTTTCTCTAACATACTGACTGACTTGAATCCACTCACAGTTCCCAAGTTTGGACTTGCTATATACTGACTGGTAGTGGCATATGGCTCATGCAATTTGGGCCCTGTAGTACAAGGACTATTAATTTTGTGTGCTCCTCTGCCCTCAGATATTAACTGACCTTCCACAGCAACAAGTCCATGTGTAACTTTATTTTCTAACTGATTTCCTGAAGACTGACACAACTGACTTGATTTATCTAGGGCCGTATCTTCTATCACTTCAGTAGCACTTTTGCTGACATAAGTCTTGCTTGAACAAACTCCTACTAAATCAACTGGTAACTTTGGCACAGTTTCAGATACACTTGTTTTTTCATCAGTATCTGCAACAATTATGTCCACTGTTTGTTCTTTTCCTTTAGGGCTTAACTCACAGGCATTTATTGGGTTATTTATAAGTATATGACATGCCGATGGTGGCCTAGAACGCCGTCGATGCATTTTAGGGCTCACGCTTGGCTCAGGACTAGGTAATTTGGCATATAAACCTGTAAGACTTTTGATCATATTATTTTCAGTAATAAAAGTGGGAATAACTTTAAAATCAGCCTCAGAATCCAGAACAGTGGGATGGCCAGTTTGTACAGGAATATCTACTTTAGAAAAGCTAGCTAAAACAGATGTATTCGTGCTACTTGCTTGAGAAGAAGCACCTTGGAGAAGAACATTTGATTTATTAAGGCTTGGTTTGTCAGGAATCACTGAGCCACAGTGTTTGCCTATCAACAGGGCTTTCTCCTTCACACAGTCGCTCACTTTAGCAGCATCATTTTCTTTGTCTGAGTGACTCTCGCTGACACTCCTCTTTGCACTGCTTCTCAGACTGCGTCTAGACTGTTCTCTTTCTATATATTCCTTTGACTTTTTCATCAGGTTCTGAAGACTCATTATATAGGGGTCTGGGGTGACTTCTGCCAAAACTAGTAGATCTTGTTCTTCAGTCGTTGAGACCAGACCATCAGAAATCAAAGTCCCTTGTGGTGTTGCTGAGGAGATCTTTGGGGATGTTTCAGTGTCAGTGTGGCAGCTACTTGAATTATCACACTGCTTGGGAGAATTAAATCCTTCTGTATCTCTACCTAACTCTATCCCATTAAGTTTATGTTGGTCCCCATTATCCATAGACAAAACCTCAGCTGTCTTTTCAGACTCGGCTAAAGTAGTATGTTCAGTAGGGCTTGGCAAGCTATTTGGAAACGCAGCAGGAACATTCAAGTTTCTGACTTCTGAATTAGAGTAAACTGTTTCAGTCTCCCACTGATCAAAATCACTGGCTTGACGTGCTTTTCTAACCTAAAAAAGGACATTAAAATTAATATTTCTTCACTGTACAAATAACCTTTTTTTTTTGCACACAGGAATCGAACCTAGAACCCTGCGCTTGCCAGGCAGGCGCTTGCTTATATCACTGAGCTACATTCCCAGCCCTGCACAAATAACTTTGGATTTGTTTTCTTTTCTTTTCTTTTCTGATTTCTTTTCTAAAACAAAACAGAAACTGTAGATTCCAAATTCTGACATTTGAAAACACAAGCAAAAACAAAGACAGTTTCTATGGTATCCTATATCACATGGGAATCAAATTACTAATAAAAACCTAGCATATGTATTAAAAGAAAATCATCCTATTTGATAAAATGTAAATATATATATATGTGTGCAATTTAATCTCAAGATATAAGCATTTTCCTTAACTTTCTTCTGGCTATATGTTATTAACATTAACAACGATTCCTTCTATAAAACCTATCATCTGCTGGGCATGGTGGTGCATGCCTGTAATCCCAGCACTCAGGAAGGCAGGAGTATCGTTGGGAGTTTGAGACCAGCCCTGGCTACAAAGTGAGCTCAAGGCCAATCTGAACACCATAGCAAGACCCTGTCTCCAAAAAAAAAAAACCTATCATAAAATATAAGCAATAAATACCAAGCAATTAAACGTCTTACATAAATGAATCTTGCTCTAAGAAAGAAAAACTTGTTTAAGGCACTGAATAAGCAAAAAAAAAATTCAGTAATAAGGCTCTCATCCCTCACACTTACCCCAAAATTTCACTAAAACTCCATAAAGTGAGGCAAATTTGTTGTAAACAATAGGTCATCCATGTACCTTAAATTACTTAGAAATGAGAAAAATTTCAACTTAAAAACCAATTCATGAAACAAAATTCAAATAGATTAACTAGTGGAAAGTTAAAACAACAAACTATTAATGCATTTTGGAATAAGAAAATAGATATTTGCCTTATTAAGATAACTGTATACTTAAGACATCTAACAGAAAAAATAAAACTACAATTTGTGTCTAAGTATTTCAACCTTGCAAAAGAAAAATGAATTAGACTGTTAAAAACTATATAAGTACATATTAAACTGACAGAAATCACTAAAAAGTATCATAAATCCCAAAGTTTTCAATATTAAAAGATTTTGGGGTTGTTTTGTGTATGCCTGTTTTTTCCTACACCATATGGCTCTCTTGTTTTACCTTACAAATCCCAAGACACACAATCGTCTCCAGGTACTAAACAATAAACAGTACAATAAGGTATACTTAGTCAGTACCTCAGGGCCACAATAAAGCAAAATAGAAGTGTACTTGCCAAATCCATGAATATGTTCATGGATTTAGGCAAAACAGATTATTTCTTTACATAAAATCTTTCACATTTCACATTTCTGATGTTTGGCAGCAATGTACTTTTTGTATACCATTCAAATAAGCCTTTGGTTAGACAAGCTACATTAAAAAAATCTATTATCATAGATTTTACACGTGAAACAGACCTTAGAAATCTATTTGTATTATATAAAATTTCTCCACCTGAACAATAAATTCATTATAGTTCAACACTGTATATGTTCTTTTAAAAAGAAAGTTTTGGAACTCAACAATAACTTCACTTGTACTCTAGCTGACATCTTCCTCTATGGACCAAAAACAATATGCCATTTTTATTATACTAATGACAGCTACTCAGTAAGTCAAAAACCTACCTATTCTTATTAAATTAGTATTATGCATTACAGTTTTAAATTTAATATGGACAGTAATTACGATCTGCAAATTCCAACCTACGCATATGCCATACTATCTACAAAGAAATGAAGGTAGCAGCAAGGAATACTCAAAGGTTCTTTATATATGTGTCATCTAGTATGAATCACAAAAGACACAAATTCCTACGACTGTTAAAAAAAAAAAGTAGCAAAATAGTGCTACATATGGCAGAAATTATTTGTTCATCTAATTCATTTTTCTTTTTAGTATGATGATCTAGACCTTAAAAAAACTGCTTATACAAATTTAAGTTAATCTAAATAAAAATACAGTAATTGCAAGAGGTATGGATGTATTATTTAATAATTTCAGTTTAGACATAGAATATACCTAGGTAATTCTATTTACTTAATCTGAACTGCATTTTCTGTGTCTAAGGGCTGCATTTTCCTCAAAAAAATTGGGGACAGTTATTTACTTTAGCAGAATAAGAGAAGGTCCTTTAGTCAATAGTCCGATTAGTTCAGGGGTTAACTACAATGGCCAATTCTTCATTTTGTCACTGAGAATTCAATGTCTTTAGAGTCATAAGACAAAGACAATAAGCAATTATATTCAGTGTATAGCTCCACTAAGTATCCTCGACTCAAGTACTGGGCATCACTGACGAGAACCAAATTCTCTCTGGAATAACTGAAATAGAACATCACAAAATCATAAAGCTTCTCAAACAATGGTAAAGCATATTAGTTAGTTATTTGCAAGCATATTTCTGAAAAAATATCAATATTTACATTACAATTTCCTAATTAAAAAGTTTGAATTACCTACCTGGACATTTTCAAGAATCTCCTGGACACGAGTCAATAAAGCTTTCTTCCTATTAACCTGCTTTCTTGCTTCTACATCAAGTGCTTTCTGTTTTTCTTGTTGTAGTTCCTTTCTTTTTTCAGTATTAAGCTGCAAGGCATGAAAGTATATTTCTCAATGATAAAAATATAAAATCAGGAAGTTTTGAATCAAGACTATTAAAAACATGTCATAAAAATTATTCCAAAGCTGTAATATTCATCTATCAAATACAACACAGAAGCATGGAGTAAATCCATAAAAATAAGATTTTGCTCATAAGTAACTAAAGGGGTCATAGTCACTACACAATAAGGCAAATAGTCATCAAATAGCTGATAAGAATATTGTTTTAAATTATTTTCCTCTCCCATGGGATGCATTCATGTGTCACAAACATGTACAAATAAAAAATAGATAAATAAATAACAATTTTCTCTTATTTTCATGCTACCAAAGAATCACCATAGTGCTGGGTGTGGTGGCACATGCCTGTAACTCCAGCATTCAGGAGCTGAGACAGGAAGGTTGCCACAACACGAAGGACAGGCTGGGCTACATAGTGAGTTCAGGGCCAGCCTGGACTACATAGTGAAAAAAAAAAAGACCAAATGACCAACCCAAATGCCAAATGGTAGTCACCACAGTAAGCAAATGTTCAAACTAAACATCACAAGTAGAGGGACAACTAAACCGACATAACTTGCAGTTTCACTTAATACGATGTACATGGTGTCATCTCCAGAGTTCTTGCCAAAAGTATTTCCTTGACTCTAGGCAAATTTTCACAGTCAACTTCCAGTTTGTAGGAGTTACAATCACCATGAGGAAAGAGTTCAGAAACCCAAAATGTAAGGCATTCTAAAAACAAGTGGTCTGGTCTCTAAAAACTCAATGTTGTAAAAAATAAAGTTTTTAAAGAGGTAGAGGGACAGTTCTATACTAAAAGAGATTAAAGAACGTAAACTAATGCTATTTGTGAACTCTGACTGGATACACATTTACTTATACACATTCTGAGTGTAAGTAAAAAATTTGAGTATGAACAAAATATTAAATACTATTAATTTTTTTAAGTTGTGATAATGGTATTGAGATTTTTATAGGAAAATGTATGAAAAAAATATATTTTTAGAAAATATATACCAAGATGGTTAGGGGAAAAGTCTTCAATTTTGAAATCAGTAGGCAATTTTTTTAGTGAATATATATATGTACATATACAGATAAAATCACAAACACAATAAAGCAAAGATAAAAAAGGTGTTTAAAAATTGTTGAATTTAAATGTAGAGATATGGGTGGTCATTGTATTATTCTTTAAACTTTTTATGCTTTAAAATTTTATTATAGCCAAGTGTGGTAGCACATGCCTATAATCCCAGCACTCAGAAGGCTGAGGCAGGAGGATCATTGTGAGTTCAAGATCAGCCTGGGCTACAAAGTGAGCTCAAGGCCAGCCTGAACTGCATAGCAAGACCCTGTCTCAAAAAAAAAAAAAAAAAAAAAAAAAATTATTACAAAAAGTTGATAGAAAATATTGATCTTTTAACACTTGTTATACCAAAGGAAAAGAATTTTTTGGGCTGGGGATTTAGCTCTGAAGCACAGCGCCTGCCTGGCAAGTACAACGTCGTGAGTTCGATTCCTGGTACTGCAAAAAAAAAAAAAAAAAAAAAAAAAGAAAAGAATTTTTTTCAGATAGGGTCTCACTATGCAGTTCAGGCTGACTTTGAACTCACTATGTAGACCAGGCTGGCCTTGAACTTGCAGTGATCCTCCTGCCTCAGCCTCCAAACTGCTGGGATTACAGGCATGTGCCACCATGCCAGGCTCAAAACAAAATTTTTTAACTTGCTATTTTTCTAATGTTAATTTTCTGATTTAAAACAAAGTCACTTACATTTAAAAAATACTCAATGAGTATCAAAGTATATATGATAAAAAAAAATGTGTCTTCTCCATCTTACATTCCCTTATTCCTCCTGACAAAAAATATAACAATGTTTTAAAAATGCAAAGAGTTACCACTTATGTGGTAATTTTCAGGTAATTTTCTAAGCATTTTACATGTATTCATTGATTTAACCTTCAAAACAGACTTATAAAGTGGGTACTATTTTAATCCTCATTTAACAAGGAAATGGAGCAAAAGTTCACCCAGCATGTAAGTGACAGAACAATGATTTCGATCCACCCCTCAAGTTTCCAGAGCTTAGGTTTTAAATTAATACTCTGTACTATCGCTAACAATATGCTGCATGCAGTAGTTCAAGGACATCCTTCTATGTCTGCACTATACAATCTATAAAACAGACTACAGTTAGTTGAAACAGTCCACTATTAATGGACATTTAGGTTGTCAATCTCTTTCATTTTTAACAATGCTAGTATAACTCGTTTCTTTGAGCACACTTGTAATTGTAGGATATTTCCCAAAAATGAAATTGGCCACATTGATCAAAGTTAGTAGGCACACCTTTATTCCTCTCATTTCCCCTCTGAATGGGTTTTCTTAGCAAAAGTGCATTTAAGGGGCATCTTTCCCACAATCTCAGAACCACTAAAATCTATCAGATCTCTGCAAATCTAGTAGGTAAAAATTATAACTCATTTGTATTTCTCTAACTATGAATAAACATTAGGCGTCTTTTAAATGCTTATAAGCCTTCCCTTTATTTTTCTGTGAGCTGATTTTATGGTTCACTAGAGAAAAAAAATTATTTAAAGAAAGTCTACCAGTGGAGAAAGCACGGCCACTCCGTGGAAGCGAATCAGTGAGATACTTTCAGCCTGAGCAGGTAGAAAGCTCTCTGTGGATAGTGATGCTTCTTGGATTCTGGCAAGAGTTTTTTCACAGAATTCTTCATATTCCTCCATCTTCCCACAATCACACTACAAGAAAGAAAAATGTTATTTTTAATGTGCTGAGAAAAATAGATCTTAATTATTTGACAAAATTTTATGGAGCATGAAATATTCCTAGAATTCACAAGCCCTAGAACTGGCCTTCCCTGAAATGTCTCATCATTCAGGAGCTAATTCTAGGTTATAAAAGCACCTCAAGATCTCATCCATTTAAGACTTGTTTTTATATATTAAATTTTTATGAACATTTTTGCATGTAAATCAATCATTAAATTTGATTAGTTTAGAGGGTACTAAGAACTCAGTGAAACCTTAAAGAAAACAAAAGTTCTGCACCATTTTACTAACTTCAGATTGTAAAAGAAAATGTTGTATTTTCTGTATTTTTTGTATTTAATAAATAAGTCTTCTTCACACAGCACAAGAAAAACAGTATCATGAAAATAGAAATCCAACCAGGTATAGTGGCACATGCCTGTAATCTCAGCACTTTGTGAGGCTGAGATAGGATAGCAAATTTGAGCCCTACCCAGGCAACTGAGCAACTTAGTGAGACTCTGTTTCAAAAAAAAATTTTAAAAGAAACTAAAACGTTTTTTAAAAAGAAAAACTTTCAAAAGGGCTGGGGAGGCCAGAAATATAGCTCAGCAGCACAAGTGCCGGCCTGGCAAGTGCAAGGTCCTGAGTTCGATATATCTCAGCATAAAGGCCCTGGGTTCAATCCAAGAACCAAAAACAAACAAAAAAAGCAGAACTGTTTTTGCAGCATAATGTGGGCTATTTAACGTAATCTTTAAAATTATTTTTCTGTCATGAAGTCTAAAAGTTATTACTCATCTATTTTAAAAATATAATTTTGCCACATGAGGTGGTACCTGAGCCAGGATAGCCACAAATTTGAGGCCAGCCTAGGCTATATAGTGAATTGAAGACCAGCTTAAACTGCATAATGAGACCCTGTCTCAAGAACAAACATAAACTATCTATATTGACTCAGGGGACACCAGCCAATGCAGTGAGACGTAGAAAACAAAATTGTTTGGCTCTTGGATTAATTCTTTATTTTACTACTGAAAATTGGAACCATCACCAAGCTACTTAAAATAACAGTGCAGTAATTTCAGTTTCTGGGAAACTGTGATGGTGGTTATGAAAATCCCAGGTAATCAGAAGGATCAGCTACTATAATCATTTCTTAGCAACTGCTATATATTGATTGTCTGTTTGCATAGCATTATATGTGGCAATGTTTCTTTTATATAGGCAAGGGAAAATAACAATAGACACTATTAAAATCGTAACCAGCAAGGGGACTGGTAAACTGTGGAAACAGAAAACTTAATACAATAATATTTAAGTGTTCCTTTTTTTTATATTTTATTTTTTTGGTAACGGGAATCGAACTCAGGACCTTGTGCTTGCCAGGCAGGTACTTGTGCTGCTGAGCTATATCCCCGGCAAATGTTCCTCTCAAAACAATTAACTACTTAACAGAAAAAGAGGAGGAAGGGAAATTGAACTCATTCTGTGGGATACGCGAACATGAAGATAGAATATGATACTGTACTGAGCCTCAGAATACTTAAAAATTTAGTGCACTGAAATGTCAGGAACAAATTATAGTACAGCTAAAAATGAGAACAAAGCAAATTCAAAATTATGACTAGATTATGAAAAAAAGTTGTAGCTACTTTTGACAAACTATTAGTTTTATCAGTAACAAAACTTCTTCCCACTTTTCCATCATGTAATTTCTATACTATTCAGTTTATGCAAAGTGAGAGTTTAATTTCAAAGAAATGGTTTTTCAGAGTGTGAAAGCCATGATTTTGCAAGCTCATATTAATTTTTTGAAAAGAAGGTTCAGTGATGGAGTGCTTGCCTAGCATGCATGGGCCCTGGGTTCAGTTCCTAGCACTGCAAAACCAAGTACACAGGAAAAAACAAAAGTAAAAACCAACAAAATAGTTTATCACATAACCATTTTTAGTCTAGGTTTCAACCTATATTATGATCTCTTAACAACCAAAATATGCAATATCCAAGATATGAAAGAAATCCAAATAAATCCATTTCTACTAAAATACTTCAAAGTATTTTTTAAATACAACTTACACATTTAGTAATATGGGGAACATGATTATATTACTTGTATAAATAATGTAATATACTTTCTACAGATATACAAGCAAAGCATGCAATTCAATTTTAGAGGTCTGAAAAATTTTAAAAAATGAACTACCTTTGTAACAAGTTTTAACATCACAGAAATATGCCTCACTGCTTCAATAAGTTATTTACATCCCTTAAATAGTGCATGTATGTCCTACATATTGCAGATACACAGTAATATATTATTACAGAATAACTTACAATATATGACAATGCATTAAATATTCAAATACAAGTGCTAATATGAAGATTATAAAAAAATGCCGAATGGAGCATGACTAGATCTTTCTTATCCTTTAGTCTCAGCTTGGATGTTTTCTCCTCAAAGAGGATGTCCCTGATTATGCTAGCCTAGTTAACCCTGCCTCAGTCACTATCACATTACCGGCCTGTTTCCTACTTTTCGTAGCACTTACCACTATCTGAAATTATCTTGTTTATTTCCTTGGTTTTTTTCTGTCTTCCTCCTCCAAAAGGTATGCTCCATAAGAACAGGTACCTTCCCAGTCTGTTCACTGAATCCCCACGACACAGAACAGATTAGTACACAGTAGGCACTTTATAAAAGTATTGAATAGCTGTATTAGAACTATTATCTTAAGAAATTATGAAACCTACGAAGAAAAAAGAAAAGAGTAAACTATACAGCAAAGAAACGAAGTGAGGAAGAATGGAATTTACAGAATGGTGCAGTGGTTCATGGATGGCCCTATTCCCAAAGAAACTGGTACCTCTAAACTGCAAAGGTAGCCCTTTAAAAAGTGAGCAGTCTACATCCCATGATTAAGCAAGAGAGGAATATGTTTCTCACACCACAATTACCACTGTCAGCAAGGTTTCATTTTGAGAGCCTTCACTTACAAGGCCATTCTAACCACAAATCTACTGCCCAGTACTCTACCATCAAGCATTACTGTTCCCCTCCCATTAATGTCGGCTGCAGCAGGTTCAGACAAGCCTTGTCGTCTCCACTTACACCAAAGCACTGACCCTTAACCAAATGAGCCTCTTTGCAAACCCTAGGCCCCATCTGCTCCTTCCCAGCACTCTGCCAGAAATGTCACTGAAGGGAATGGTAAAAGTAACACACACAATTCCCACACAAACATAAACTTCTTGCAGAGGCAGTTCAGGGGAAGATCTCCTACTCAGGTACATTCAGATCAAGCCACTCAGCATCACCACACCTGTTTCCCTATCTGTAAAACACAGACCTTCAGGGAATCTATCTGTCTCAAAGGGATTCTGTGAGAATTGAATGAGCTAACGCATTTACAGCAATTAGAATTCTGCGGGATAAGCAGAAAGCATCAATAAATGAGAGCTGCTTTTCTTGTGAAGTGGCCAATGGCGACGATGATTTTTATCACTAGCCTCTAAACTCTTGGAGCACAATGACAGGGCTTGGTTCCTGGTAAGATTCAAAGGTAACCTGAAAACCGGGGGTAGGGGGCAGCTTCCTTCAGTTTCCAGGCCCCTCCCCATCAAATCAACCTCTGGACGGCTACCATTTGTCTGAACTGGGGCTAGGGGACTGGAATTCTAACCAGATGAGAGAAACAAAAGGGCACGACCCACCTAGCGGGGTCAGGGGCGATCGAGAGAATCTGCTTTATAATGCCCAGGCTTATGCCCCAGAGTCGCAAAGGCCGAGTAAACAGAGCTCCTCGGACCTTTGGGTTGTGGTAACCGGCGTTTAGAAATGGCCAATGCACACCCTGGGGACGCCTCCCTCTCTTGCACTGTGGGACAGAGAAGAAAAACGGCCCGAACAGTCTTATCACAGGGGGGGTTCTCCGCAGGGACGCGAGCGGATTCCTCACCCCCTCTCTGCCTCACCCCAGCGCCCCATGCCCACCTCGCCGTTTCCAAAGACCCACCCGGGCGATGCCAGCATCGGAGCACCACCTCCGCGCCTGGTGCCACCCACTCCCGGGACCTATTTGCCCAAACCTGGTGCCTTCTAGGGGATGGAGGTCCGGGAACTCAGCACAGAGCCCACCCTCAGCCTCACCGAGCGCCAACTCCGGTCACTAAGTCGCCTCTCAGCCCAGACGCGACTGGGGTAAAGCCCACTGCTCACGCACACACCTGATCACTCACGGCCCGGTCAGCTTTTCTCCCTCGCCACGGAACTTGTCAGAAAGAAAACAGCTCAAATGGTTCTGGTAGATTGCAGTTCGGTCCGCCGCCTCCGTCTCCTTCTTCTCCCCGCCATATTACGGGTCTCTCCGGCGGCAACGCGGGCTCCTGGCAACCGCAGCTGCCGCCGCCACTCGGACTCCACCCCTCAGGATCCGTACTTCCTGTGGTTGCGTCCCTGGCAATGAAATTGTTGGTCCTCCAGAAACTACAATGCCCAGAATGCATCGCGCGCTCATAAGGAACCTGTGCTTCCGGCAAGCGACGTACACGCTGGGAAATGGAGTCTTCACTGCAAGGCAGTACCTATAAAATTATGACGATACACAGTATGAGCGCTTCTGGGGTTTGAAACCCCCAGAAGTTTTACGTGAAGTTGCCACTTTTTAATTTACCTTTATAGAGATAACGTCTCTGTGGTCATTCCGGGCATGGTGGCGCATGCCTGTAATCCTAGCACTCAGGAGGCTGAGGCAAGAGGCTCCGTTGCGAGTTCGAGACCAGCCTGGGCTACAAAGTGAGCTCATGGCCAGCCTAAACTGCATAACGAGACCCTGTCTCAAAAAGACAAAAAAAAAAAAAAAAAATCTCTGTGGTCGTTGGAAAATACAACATTCATTTAAAAATTGCTGAAGGGGCTGGGGATTTAGCTCAGCGGCAAAGCGCCTGCCTGGCAAGCGCAAGGTCGTGAGTTCGGTTCCTGGTACCGGAGAAAAACCAAAAAAAAAAAAAAAAAAAAAAAAAAATTGCTGAATCCAAAGCCTTGAGACATCTGTGCCCTTTTGGAAATCAGTGGGAAAATGTGTACAAGGGGAAAAAGTAACAGGTCCAAGACGACAGAAAAAATCCCTGTATCTTCTGCCAAATTTCTCTACCTAAACACCATATTATCAGCTTTGCAAAATACGACTTGTTTCTATTTCCTAACTCAACTTTAACCTGTCTCTCTCTTACTGATTCTCGTTCCAATGCCTATTTTTGCACAAGTAAAATGAGACTCTTAAAAGTGCCTATCACACCTGTAATACTAGGGAGGCTGAGGCAAAAAGGTAAGTTTGATGCCAGCCTAAGCTACATAGCAAGTTCAGGCAAGGCTCACCTGGACTACAAGGTGAGGCCTTGTCAAAAACAAAACAAAATCTTAAAAGTGCCTATCACAAGAGTGACCATAAGATGTAATTACAATAACGTTTGCAGCTGGGGATATAGCTTAGTGGCATATGCACCTGCCTAGCAAGTGCAAGGTCCTGAGTTTGATTCCCAGTACCAAAAAAAATGATGAAAAGTATTCCCTTGTAAAGTATTGTGGGGTGTCTCCTCATTGTAAGTAAACTTTTGCGCAAGGCTTGTGCTTATACCTTTAGTAGGAAGAAAATTAAGATAAGGAAGCTGAGTAACAGTGAAGGTCACAAGTCATGATTACAAATGATTCTGCTAATGACGGTTCAATTCACTTCACCTCTTAGTTTCCTCATTCATAGAACGAAGAAATCACTGAAATCTCTGCTGTTTATAGTCCGATTGTGCGCCTTTCTTATACTTTTTCAGTCCCTCCTACTTTAGAAAATCCTCCTGAAATAATTCTCCTGAGGCTGTTGTAATAAATAATGTTTCAGTTAGTGCTGATATGGAAAAAATATAATTCCCAACCTGCTAGGTGTCAGATGTGCCCAGTATATGTTCCCCAAATAATAACGAATGAATTCCAAGGTACAAAGGAGGTTAAGAATAGGAAAGGTGGGGCTGGGGATTTAGCTCAGCGGCACAGCACCTACCTGGCAAGTGCAAGGTCGTGAGTTTGATTCCCGGTACCAGAAAACAAAACAAAATAAAACAAAGAATAGGAAAGGTTTATTAAGAGAAAGCGCTGGAGAAGCAGGAGATGGATGTGTGGCCACTGAGGCTCTTCGTCAGAGATAATTTGTCCAGCAAAATCATAGTGAGGGTACAACACGGAGCAGACTACAATCAACTGATAAGAATACAAGTATAGCAGCTTAGCTAATATTGATTGAACAGGGAAATGAGTCATATAGCAGGGACTATGGAAAGATCAAAGGAATTCTTGGAAAGGGAGGGGAATATGGGTCTCAGTGTTCTGATCACCCACCTAAATGTCTGATGTCTATCTGAGTACATTGAACCAGGTGGTGCTAAATACAGTATAATCTCAAACTGCTATTTATTGTGGGAGACTGGGCTACCTGATTAGCCCCAGAGATCTAAGCATTGTTGACCCTTCCCAGGGAGGGGAGAGGGAGTGGAAGGCTGCTCCCACCCTTGCTTGTGTGCAGGAATGCTGATGCTCACAATACCCCAGGGCAGGACAACAATCAGCTAAGGGCTAAACAAAGAAAATTATATATCCAGGTGTAAAGTTGTTATGTTCCTTGTTAATCATCTACATTTTCTTGAACCCTAGATTGTGTGATTGCTACATTATCTCATTTTACTAATAAAAATGAGACCTTGTAGACTCCCAGCCTCTGGTCCCCCTTGGTTACAAATTTGTCTCTTTTATTCCTCCGTCTCCTTGTACCTCCTAGGTCAGTTTTCAGGTTGGCTCCTACAGTTTTTCTCCAGGGAGACATGTAGGCCTGTCTATTGCTTTTCCATCCTGAGGCCTGGCTTTCTTCAGATTCACCTTTAGTTAAAATTCTGAGGTCTTTATTTTTTGTGCTGACTTCCTTGAAGGTCTAATCCCTCTCTGACTGTATATTAATTTCTACCTAATTTAGCTGTCTATAATAGTGTTAAGAGTCCATTCCATTCCCCACCCTACCACTCCCCCCACCCCCATGCCGAACCTACAAAAGCCAACCCTGTCTCCCTGACAGACATCTGCAATTTTTTTTTTTTTTTTTTTGGAGACAGGGTCTTGCTATGCAGTTCAGGCTGGCTTTGAGCTCACTTTGTAGCCCAGGCTGGTCTTGAACTCGCAGCAATCCTCCTGCCTCAGCCTGCCCTGCCTCAGCCTGACGAGTGCTGGGATTACAGGCATGCGCCACCACTCCAGGTGTAGACAGCTGCAATCTAATTTGCCTCTGGCATGACAGCTGTAATCTAATTTACCTCCTGACAGGCTCTAACCTAATGCACAAATGTCAGCCCCTCCCACAAATGTCCTGGCAGCTCAAACAAAGCCAAGACCAGTCTGACAAAATTTTTGAACCACTCTACCTATATATACAAACCTAGCTCCCTTGATCGCTGGTGCGCGGTACCTACCCTTCAAAGTCTGGCATGACACTCCCATTCCAATAAAATTTTCCTCTCTGTAGGTGGCCTCATGACTACTCCCCACCCCCTGCACAGCCGACCTTACAAATAGTAGCTCTGGAATCCTTATGTCTGAAAAAGTCTTTATTTGTGGTGATTTCAATTATGTGGGGCTCAGCTTTTCCTGGAAGTCAGGTGATCATAGGTTTAGAACAATGGCTGGAGGCTTCTGGGGTAGCTGAACTATCCCTGTAAATCCCTATCTTTGGATTCTTAGTCTTGAAAGAGGACAAGATCATGTAAATTTAGGACTAATCAACCACGTTTTGCCTACTTTTAGACGGACACTTCTTAAATAATTAATATACCCATATGCAGAGCTGAGAAGGGATTTGACCTAAATTTTTACAGTAACAAATACAAACTGCAAGTCAAGCTTTATTTATTTATTGAGACAGGGTTTTGCCATGTATTCCAGGCTGGCCTTAAATTCAGTATATAGCCCAGGCTAACCTGTAACTCCCTCCAATCCCCCGGTCTTAGCGTCCTGAGTGCTGGGACTGCAGGCATGTGTCACCACTCCTGGCTTTGCTCTGCTTTGTTATCTGTTGTGTATTTGGGGCCCAAATGGAAAGTCACTTTTCTATTTTCTCTCTTTTTATTTTTATAGCAAAAATGGCTTTTTAGTCCTTGATTATCCCAGAAGAAAACACAAATCATGGTTTTAATGGGTTAGCAGGCTAGGACCCAACAGTGGTTTCCTACCCATCTCCAATGAGTGAGCAATCTGGGGCCAGCCCCTATAGTGGTCTTCCACTACGAGAGATGCATACACAGTGATTCCTAACACAGTACCTGGGACATGATAAGTGTTCTGCAAACGTTAGCTGTATTTCAAAGATAAATAAAAACAAACGTTAGCTGTATTGCCAACTCCCCCGTTCCACAGTGTAAATTTCTCTCTCTCTCTCTCTCTTTTTTTGTTTGTTTTGTTTTTTTGGTATCGGGAATCGAACTTATGACCTCAGGCTTGCTAGGCAAGCGCTTATGCCGCTGAGCTATATCCCCAGCCTCTCTCTCTTTTTTTGGTCTTTCTGAGACAGGGTCTCGCTATGCAATTCAGGCTGACCTTGAGCTCACTTTGTAGCTCAGGCTGGTCTCGCTCGAACTTGCTACGATCCTTCTGCCTCAGCCTCCGAGTGCTGAGATTACACAAGGGCGCCACAGCGCCCTGCTGTAAATCTCTTAATAGGTGGGTCCCTGTCAGTCCTGTTCACAGTGGGTACCACGGCTTGGCACAACTTGAACTGAATCGCACAAATAGAATAAGGTTCCCAGCTCAGGTGCTTGAGGGCAAACACAGCATCTCCACCAGTCTCCTCCCTCCCCTTCCCAACTAAGGAGTCAGAACATGGGTTGAAATCGCGATCCAAGATAACCAAAAAGCCACTTTGGAACTCCAGCCCGGAGCCTGGGCCCGCCCAGTTGCCATGGAAGCGGCTCCGCCCCTAGCGCTGGACAACCCGGGCCCTGATTGGCTGGTCGGCCGGCTTCGTTTCGGGATGTGTCCGCCGCCGCCATTGTGCGGCGCTAGTCCGCTCGGAGGGTTCCGGCTGCGGCCGATTCCTTGGCCTCTCACCCCTACCCGGCGGGTCCGGGACTCCTGTCCGTGTCGGTGCGGGCGCCGGCATGTGGCTGTGGGAGGAGCAGGGGGGCCTCCTGGGCCCCTTCTCCTTCCTGTTGTTGCTTCTCCTGGTGGTGACGCGCAGCCCCTTCAATGCCTGCCTCCTCACCGGCAGCCTCTACGTGCTGCTGCGCTTCTTCAGTTTTGAGCCGGTGCCCTCTCGCAGAGTCCTGCAGGTGCTCAAGCCCCGGGACCGCATTTCGGCCATCGCCCATCGCGGCGGCAGCCACGACGCGCCCGAGAACACGCTGGCGGCCATTCGGCAGGTGAGCCCCCGACGCCTCGCGCCCCTCGGACTTCCGCGTGTGCTTCGAAGGCCAGGGCTTCTCCTGACAGCCTTCCCTTTGCCCTAGTCCTCCGCACGGAACGCACCCCTCTGCCCCTTGGTTCCGCCCCATTTCTAGGAATCTGCCAACTTAAGGATTGATAGAATACAGGAGCTGTTTATATGGTTGCTATAGACACAGAGTTTGCAGCTGTAAACAAGACGGAAAGGGTCCCTGCTTTCACAGGCTTTACGTCGGAGTTGGGGAGGCAACTCCTAAGTGAATACTTATAGTGAGCAAAAAATGAAGTGAATTAAATTGTAGTGAGGTGAAGTATTGAGAGGGAAGGGCTATTACTGTAGCCGGAACAAAAAAGAAACTATTGTAGTCCTGAAGTGCTATTTGTACTGAAACCAGAATTATGAGAAGAGCCAGCCATGGGATCTGTGAGGAAGGTGTTCAGGAAAAGGAAGCATTAAGTGCAGAGGTCCCAAGGTCAGAAAGGAGTTGGAGTGTTAAAGTGACAGAAGTGGTGGCCTGACTTGAAGGCACAGAACAAAATCCCTTGTGTTAATGAGGTAGGAAATGGGCTGTGTCTCATAGGGTCTTAGTCAGTAAATGAGTTCATTCTTTGTGGAGCACCCATCTCTGAGATTGTCTTTGCTTGTTCTCTAAATTACTTGGTCCACCTCTCTATCACCTTTCTTTCCACACACCACAGGTACACAGGTATACATACACTCACACAACCCTAGTAGCTGGACTCCTGGTAATTTTCCCACAAGACATTGCTGAGATCACCCAGCTCTTGGCAGTGTCGTGATTTCATTATAAAGAGAGCTTTTCAGTGAATTGTTTTGTCTCTGCTAACTGTGGGTTTTACATTCATAAATTCAACTACTTGGGGACCTAAAATATCCAAAAAGAAATTACATCTGCAGTGAACACATACAGTATAACAACTATGAATCATTTACATTGTATTAAGTATTATAAAGAATGAGTTTTTAAATTTGTATGGAGCCAGGTGTGGTGGTACATGGCCTGTAATCTTAGCACTCGGAGGCTGAGGCAGGAAGATTCCAAGTTCAAGCCCAGACTGGGACACTTAGTGATTTAGTGAGACTGTGTCTCAAAATAAAAATGGACTGGGGATGTAACTTTGTGGAGACCCTACATTCAGTTTCCAGCAGCTCAAAAAAAAAAAAAAAAAAAATAGATATGGAAAGAAAGAAGGAAAATAGAAAAAGCATATGAGAGGATGTTCTTAGGATACAGTATGTGCAAATACTATACTTTTTTTTTAATTGGAAATTGAATCCAGAACCTTCGTACTGAGCTACATTGCCAGCCCTTTTTATTTTTTGAGACAGTGTCTCACTAAGTTGCCCAGGCTTGGCTTGAATTGCCATTCTCCTGCCTCAGCCTCCCAGAGTACTGAGCTTACAGGTGTGTACCACTGCACCTGGCTACACCATTTTTATAAGGGACTTCAGCATCTGTGGATTTTGGAGTCCTTATGGATTCAGAGATCAATCCCACTACCAAGGGATAACTATATTATCTGATCTCATTTCATTGACAATTTCTTTTAACATTAAATAGGTAATAAAACTCATTTAAATACACGAAGCGCCTTTTAGAATTCTTCCTTTTGTTTTCAAGTTCTAGCACTTTTCATCACAGACTAGAATATGTTCCGGGATGTGAAAATTAACTACCTGTCCTTTCTTTGCCTGGCTAGGAACAGACAGTATTGTATAATAAATAAGTTACTTAAACTTCCTGTGCTCCTGTTAGGGTCATGACTATGGTGTGGCAAGCTGGGGCTGTGGACATTGCTCCTTACCCTAGGCTCCACCCTGACCTCAGTTTCCTGTCTGTAAAATGGAAATGATGATGGTGTTTACCAAATAGGTTGTGAGGCCTGACTTGTCACAGGACAGTCCATGGAGTGGTGACCTCAACCCAGCCTAGACAGTAGGTTCTTGACTCATCTCAGAAGAGAATTTCAGAATGCCTCAGTGGCAGGCATAGAAAGGTTTTGTTAGGCAGAATTAAGGTACACACTCAGAGAAAATAGAGGGCTTGAGGGCAAGGTCCTCAAGAGAGAGGCACATTAGTTAGGTGTAGTATTGCACGCTTGGGAGGCTGAGGCAGGAGGATCGCCATGAGTTCGAGGCTAGTCTGGGCCACATAATGAGTTCAAAGCCAGCCTGAATTACATAGAGTTATGCTGAGCTGGCAGTATTTGTATTTTGGCAAGTGGAATTTGTGAATCCATAGAAAAATCAGGCTCAATTTACATGTGAAAGCATGGCCCCATTTGTAAAGACAAATGATGTTTTCCCTAAGAAACATTCTTTGTACTCTTTGAATCTGTTTTTCTACCCTAGTGTCAAATTTCAGCTATATACCTTACCAGCTAAACTAATTTATGCCCTGGTACTACAGTATCTTTAAGGGATTTTGGTGATGGGCCTGGAAGAAAAAAATAAACAAGCGTATGGAATTCAGGTGTGGCTAACCTGGGATAGCTTTGTGTCCTGAAGGTACAGTCTTCTTAAAAGTACAATTTTAAGACTATGATTTTCCTTATCTCCTTTTTACCTATTTTATGTATTTCTTCTACCTCACGATGAGCTGGCCTAATTAGAGATGTAAACTATTTCTTCCAAGAACCCAAAGATGGCTTGATTCTTCAGAGAAAAGGTAAAAAATTTAAGTCCGGAAAAAAGGCTGACCAGGAGGGCAACCTTTGAGTTAGTAAAAGATACCTGAGGTTTTATGTATAGCCATGTTAAATATCTGTTAGCTTTCCTTGTTTTTGACAGCCTCTCTGAGAAAATAGCTTAAGAGAAGAAAGATATATTTTGGCTCATGGTTTCAAAGGTTTTGTTACCGGGTTTGGGGTGCTAGAGTCTCTTCTGGAGGTGGTTGCTAGGTTCTTTCTGTCCTGAGCAAAGAATCGGCCAAGACGAGTACAAAAGGTAGCAAAGTTGTATTAAAGGTAGGAAAAGAAACAGGCTTTACAGAGCGAGTTTGGGCCAAGTAAGTGAAAGAAAAGAATACACTCTGCAGTATGAGGGCAGTCATCCATGCAAGAGAACACACAGTGACAAAAACTCAATAGTGACTGTCCTTTGTGTATCACTCAGTTCTCAGGCTGACGGCAGATCTGGGTTATCCTGTGGAAAACCTGCTTGAATTTTTTTTTTTTTTTTTTTGTCTTTTTGTGACAGAGTCTCGCTATGCAGTTGAGGCTGGCCTTGAGCTCCCTTTGTAACCCAGATTGTCCTCAAACTTGCAAGGATCCTCCTGCCTCAGCCTCCCAAGTGCTGGGATTATAGGCATGCACTACCACACCCGGCTAACCTGCATGAATGCTTGTGAGAAGTCCACATGCAGAGCTTTGGGAACTGCTCTGTACATGTGTCCTGGGATTTTATATTCAACAGGCCGCACTTGCCTCCCCAGCCAGCTTTGCCTGACCCTAATCTCCTGTCTCAGTTTCAGTCTGTGGTCATCTGGCTCCATTGCTTTTAGGCCTATGACAAAGCAAAAACATGGCAGAAGGGTAGAAAAAGCTGCTCACCTCATAGCAGACCAGAAGCAAGAAAGAGCAAGAACCTGTGCTAGTGGGCTTCTGCCCTCCTCTGCTTTTGTTCGTCCACCTCTACCCTGCTGTATAGTGCTGCCCACTTTCAGAGCAGGTCCTCCCCTACCCCTCAGTGCACTGTCCCAAAGACCAGTCACCTCTGGGAACACCCTGTCAGACACACCCAGAAATGCCCTTTACTAAGACCCTAAGCCTTTCTCAATCCAATCAAGTTGACAAGATTAACTAACTGCACACATACTTCTGTCCCCTTGGTTCTTTCTTTGTGATGGGAGACAGTGAGAGCAGCTTTTTCTGGCTTCCTGTTTGAAAATAAACCTGAAAATATTGAGGAATGTATGTAGATAAACTCAAAGAGCTTGGATAAAATAATTTAGTAAGATATACAGGAGGTAGTGTTGCAGTGAAAAGAAAGATGATTATTATTGTAGGAGAAAACAACACTGGTGTCACTGTTTTTCATTTTTGCTTACCTTTATGTGAGTCACCTTAAAAGATATCTCAAGGTAGCCAGGCTTGGTGGTGCACCCCTAGGTTAACTGACCGTACTATGCATTTGAGTTTATTGATGGATGTGGTGTTTTGACCAAGAGCATGTCCGACTGAATATAAATAATAGTGAATGAATGAGGAAGCATTTATATGAAATATATATACAGTGCTTCACATCCTGTTGTATTGCACAGAAACTATAGCTAAATTCCAGTCATACTTTGTATGTTTATGTTGTAACAATAATAATCATTGTGTCAGACTGATTCCTGGTCTTAAGAGGAAATGAGATATAGTAATTCAGCTTATTAGAATATGAGGTTATTGTTAATGAACTTTTTAACTGTAATAATGTTTTAACTACCAAGTACAGACTATAGAAGACAAGACTTTGTCCTCTCCCATGATTTCAAAAGAAAGTTTATTTCCATCAGAATTTAGTTTTTGTTCTGTCAATTCTTTATCACTTCCCACATTTCCAACTTACAATTTTGATTTTTGTTTTCATTTATTTATTTATTTATTTGGTCTTTTTGAGACAGGGTCTCGCTATACAGTTGAGGCTGGCCTTGAGCTCCCTTCATAGTCTAGGCTGGCCTCAAACACGCAACGATCCTCCTGCCTCAGCCTCCCGAGTGCTGGGATTACAGGCATGCACCACCATGCCTGGCAGATTATACTGTTTTTATTTAAAACCGTCTAGTAGTTTCCTTTTGGAATTAGATAAAATACAAACTTTTTTCAATCATATGTCTTTCTCAAAGTCCCTGCTTTCTCTGTTCCACCCCCCTGGGTGTTTTATTGGGAAGTTTTTGGCTTCATGTAATAGAAGGCCCATCCATCATCAAACATCTCAGTAAGGGATCTCACTGTCTCACAGAACTCGAGG